CGGCGGCCTCGTCTGTGGACTGCAGTGTCAGGGCAGTGTAGATGTGCGATGCTGCATCCCGATACATCTGCCATCAGAGCGCAAAAGTCAACAAACCAGCACTGCGCTTTCGCTCGCGCGTAACTCACCTTGAGATTGAGACAAGAAATGCTCAGATTAAAGTGGCACCTGACGAACCCGGGCTGCAGCTCCAACGCATGGTGATAGTAATCCACGGCTTCTGCGCTCCTGCCCGAGTTGCTCAAAGTGGCCCCAAGTCGATTGTACAGCAGCCAGTCGTTCGGACGAACGCTGAGTGCGGCAGAGAAGCAATCCACTGCCTTGTCGTAATCCTCGGACGCGTTGAAGAGGACGCCAAGGGCTACTTGGATGTCGGCGTCTACCACAGCACCTCCCGCATTGCTCGGCGGTCCTGCTCTAGCTATGGCCATAAGCGTGCTGGTAATGCGAGCATGCCGTTCGACCAGGGTAGCATTCTCAGATCCGCTCGTCGCAGCGGAGGCTTCATGCGCGCGCACTACGGCGGCATACTGATCGAGGGTGTGTATCCAGCGCTCCGTCGCTTCCAGTGCAGCTGGGCGATCGCTCTCGTTCGTGTAGCTTACAGCCAGTGCTAGCCACGCATCGCTCAGCGCAGGATTGATTTCGATGGCTCTGTGCAGAGCAGCGATGGCCAAGCCTTCTCTTTCGTTTTCTTGCTGCTTGACGCCAAGATCTAACCACGCGGACGCATCCTGAGGATCCGCTTGAACAGCGGCCTCACGTTCAAGCAGGCTGCGCAGATCGTGCGAGAGCTCTTGCTCCGCGGCAACATGGCTCGCGTGCGTGTGCGTGGTGCCGACGTAGGGATTGTCGGCTTGGAAGCGATATGCTGGGGCGCTCGCAGCGCTCTCTGGCTTGCTGCGACGAACATGTGCCCTCGCAGCGGCATTCTCCAAGCCCGTGGGACCAGCCATCCACTGATCCCAGTCGCTTTGCAGCTTGTCCCACTCTGCGCTCTGAGCTCCAGACACTCCTCGTCCAGCTCGCCCTGACCAAGATCGACCGACAAAGTCCCCTCCCTCCTCCTTCTCCTGCTCGTCTTCCTCCCAGCCAGTGCTCGATTGTTGGGCGCCAGGTATGCGGCTGTACCGGGCATACTTTGCGTATTCCCGCGCCTCGATATCGTCCTCCATCATTCTCGCCGCAACATTTCCTCCATCTCCACTGAACGCTCGTGCCGCACGCTCTCTCGCTTCGCGTTCGATGGCCTCGCTGCGCGCATCCTCTTCTGCCCACATCTCGTCAAGAGCCGTTCGATCGCCCTGCTGAC